GTCGCCCCCGCCGCCCGCGTCGCGCTCGCCGTCGCCCCCGACGACGCCCGCGTCTACGTCGCCGCAGTCGCCACCGCGCTCGCCATGCCGTCCGGTCGCGTCGCAGACTCCGCCCCGTTCGTCGCTGAGTTTGACGCCCAGGGCGCCTTTCTCAACGTACGCGACTTTCCGGGCTTCGGTCACCGCGTCGCCGCCCTCGTCTGCCACCGCGTCGCGAACAAGAGCGTGCTCGTACTCGTCACCACCGCGGACAAGGCCAGCCACGTGTACGACGCCGTCGACAGTCCCCCGCAGAAGGCCGGCCTTGTCCTCGCACTGCTCGATGTCGCCTCGCTTAACGCCCAGCTCGTCCGCCCGCTGTCCACTGGCGACCGACTCGTTGCAGACGTCTTCTGGGACTTTGCCCACGTACACGCCGAGGATAGCTTGTTCCTTGTCGTCAAGAGGCAGACCGTTACTAACTGGGTCCACACCTTTGTTCCCACCGTCTTCAAGATCGACGTCGCGTCGCTGCGCCCGGTGGCCGAGCCGCGCGCCCTGCCCAACGATTTACAGAACCACGTCGCCCTGTACCCGGACGAGAAGGGCATCTTCCTGGCCTACGTGTCGCGCGTTCTTAATCGGGAGGGCATTGTCGTGCGGAGGCTCGCCACCAACTTGACCGACTTGAACTGGGATGCCGCGGAGACCCCCGTCTTTCGCCGCCCAATCGAGATGGACGCCCAGTACACGCGCAGCATCCGCTCGGACGTCGCCGACATGCTCGTCGCGGAGCAGGGCCAGGTCCACGTCCTTCTGCACACGGCCGAGATCATCGACCCAAATCAAACGGACACCAACGACCACCGCAAGCTGTCGAACGGCCGCCCCGCCCTCCTTGTCCTCACAAACGCCCAGGCCGTCGCAAACATCTCGCAGAGCGTCACCAACAACCAGTGGCAGCCGCACGCCATGGCCGTCGACACCAACCGCTTCTACATCGTAGGCGAGCACCGCGGCCTCATTGGCTCGGACCCGGACGCCGCGCCGAGCATGCTCCTCACCAGCGTCGAGAGGCCCGCCCTCCCCACCCCGTCCCCGTCCCCGTCGCCGGGCGCGAACGACGGCGTCGCGCCCGACCCCGCCAAGGGATCCGGGAGTGGCGCGTCCGACGGGCCGGGAGCGGCTTCCAACGAGACGTGCGTCGGCGCTTCCACCGCGATTGGCGGCCGCGCGTTCAAGAAACTGCTTGAAGAAGATGCGCGCTTGCGCTTGCAGCGCCACCCGTTGTTCGAGCTGCGTGCATGGCTAGGGCTCGCGCCAGTGACGGTCCCGATGCTGTGCCTATCGTGGCGCAACGCTACCGAGTCGGAGAGCGGCACGTTGTGCGCGACGGCCGGTCACGTCCTGCGCTGGCACGGCAAGCCCGTGTTCATGCACGAGCTCTGTCGCGCGGTGGGCCACTGTCGCCAACGTCAAGATGAGCCGCTCAACTTTAAGGGCGCGTGCGGCGTGGACGTCGTGGCGCACAAGTTTCTGGCGGTTACTATGCACGCTTCGAGGGGACAAGGCGTGGATGCGCGCGAGGTCGTGAGGGATGAGTGCGCGCAAATGCAGAAGACGCCGTTGAGGTGGCTCGTTTCCACTCTGTAGAAGAACCCCGCTTTGCTGCACACGGAATGGCAACATGCATGGAGATGGAGGGATGGATTTGATTTTTCGATCCCAAAGAAAAACGAGCTGTCCTTGTCGGCATGTTTGTTCTCGTCATGGAATCTGTCGCGGTGAGAAATGGGGGAGGCAAAATTGGCCTTCGTACCATGTCCGTTGACGTTTTCCCAACTAGGCCTCCCGTTATTCTTGCTGGGAAGTTTGACGCCACCCTTGCTTGTTTTCCGTACTGTGACGAACACCAACTGCAAAGGCAGTATTTGCAAACTGGAGACTGTTGCGAGTAGTGAATTGGCAATCATAAACGATAACTAACTACAGTTCAAAGAAGTCACGCTTCATGTGTTTGTACTGTGCAACTGAATGGCGGGAAACAGTCTGCATGACGTGATTCTGTGGTGCGAATTAGTTGAAAGAAAAGAGGCTTACCATAGAGAAATGCGTTGCTCCAGGCACAGCAGGGTAGGGTCTGTTTTTCGCACAGACCCATGGTGCATGCGTATGCTTGATGTTCAAAACCCAACTGTACAGAACAGGAAGGGCTATCTCGTCGATCATGGATATGAGCATTTCTGCACGACAAATACCATACAGTACCCAAGAGTACCCTTGGGTACTGTAACTCCCCGCGCAGCTTGTTGGCTCTGATAAGGGCAGAAAGGGCGATATCAGTAGCAACCAACCTTTATGCATGCTCCACAGGCTCTCACAACGTACGGTAGGTTGGCTATTCCGGACACATGCTTGAGAGCATTTACAGGACCTATTTCCGGCAGACCCCTTCAAAGCTTGAATGCCTCAATTTCAAATTACTCCGGGAGGTTCAATTGAGTATGTGAGCGCTTTTTGAACATGTGAAAGGTTGCGATAAGAGAGACGACACAAAGTCAAGTCCAAGTTTGATGAAAACTCCGCAGTAGACTTTTTGCGCAAGCAATGAGACCCTGTGCAAGTGGGCAGCGTTTCAGGTCTGGGTGCTTGCGCTCTTCTTCGTTTCTGCCTGAACGACGTCCTTTTCGTCACGGGTGTTGGCAGGGAATGACCAGTGCGAGAGTAGTTTCCATACTTTTGTCAAGTTCTTTACATATCATTCATTTGTTCGATAACCGTCGCAGTCAACATTGCTTCCCATTCATCCACATATCCAATGCCCTTTTGGCCGACTTTTCATTCGCGTCCGAGTACTCACGCCAATACCGCCGCATCCCTTTCAACTCCTTTTTTCCTATATGCCCTGTCCGTGGATCAAACTTAACATGCCCACGCCACTCGTCGGTGTGCTCTATTCGCGTCGGTAGCAGCTGCATCGCTCCTCGATTCAGTGAACCCACCAAATGCAGACTCATTCCTGACATGCTTCCCAGGAACAAGTCTGCGGCGATCATTTCATGCAGGCTCTCCACTGTGTCTTGTGATACATGAAGCACAACGCGCAACCGATTCCTAAACACAATGCCGAGATCGTCCTGCTTCTTATCATTGAAAATTTCGGTCACCGCAACCACGTCCAGCACTTTCCCGTCAGCGTCGTGGAAGTCACTATTCAGTCGTTTGATATCGTGACCGACGTCACCCTTGTATCCCTTTTTCGGATTTCCTTCCGAGTAGATGTGCACTGCGATTGGCATCCGAGCAAACGTCTTGTTATGCTCCTGGATTTCCGCCATGACCTGGCGAAGCACGCGCGAAAAAGTCGCTACCGGTACCATCGGACGCCCCACCTTGAAAAAGTCGCCGCGTCTGGCGTGAATTGCAATCGTAAGTTCATGTTCATGTAGTCTGGGGAGGATGCCTCGCGGCGGTACGCCGGGAATACGCAGCGTCGAGGCCCAGCTGTCGCGGTAACGATGAAACGAGGAGATGGCGCGCGATCTATGACGCGAGTCGTGCTCCGAATACATGCCATGCGCCGCCCAGTACTTGTGGTAAAAGAAGGCGCGTGCCTCCGGGAGAAACTTGGAGTAGGTCGGGCTCTTTGCGCAAACTTTGTGCGGCATGTGAAACACTGTGTAGGGTTTGTTGTGCTCGTTGAGAAAGTCATGGAGGGTGCGGTTAGACTCTTTCGTGGGACGGTAGGGAGCCTTGTATGACATTGACATGGGTATTTCAACGATATGGTCGACGCGAAGGCGCCGAATGGTGTCTGGTTTGCGCTCCAGCTTGACTTGCTTACGTTTCTCCTCTGTACAAAGCTTGCAAACGTGTATGGAGCTTGCAAACTCACCATACCCGCACGCGGCATCCTGGATGGCCTCACGGGGGATTTCACCGACGCCCCATCCGAAGAAGCCCTCGATGCGACCGGATTCCCTCGAGAGGCCTGCGATGCGGGGCAAGAAGGCATCCTGGGAGCGATTACTAGAGAGGACTTGGCGCGAGAAGCGGTTATCCACGAGGCTACCATACTTTGCAACGCGGTGCGTGTAGGTGATGCCGAGACGCATGGCGGTGGTGAGGTCGGCGTTGGTGGTGGCCATGCCGTGACCGAGGCCGTCGGAGGCGGCCTCGCGGACGCCGGAGTAGAGCATGCGGCCGCGGGATTGGTCGAGCGCCGGGAGCTTGGGGAAAGGCGGCGAGCGCCAGGGGATGTTGAAGCGGGACACGGAAGCCGGCACAGGAGATACGACGGCCGGAGGATCGAGGTCGGGGGCGAGCGCCGGCGCGGCCAGCGAGTGGGGATGCAGAAAGTTGAGGACGACCAGCAGGAGAAGAATGGGACGGTTGTGCATGCCCATGACGATTGTGTGAAAGGGAGGGGGGATGGAGGAGAAGAGGCGTACTAGGATGGAGCGAGAGGAGGTTAGGACGAATTGTCATTGGGGTTTGGAAATGGCGATGGTGATGTTGCATGGATTGTACAAGGGTATGTCGGGGTTGTGCGCAAAGTAGTTTGGCAGCAAAGTGAATTCGAGGTCGGGACACGCCTAATTAAAGCATAAGATTGATGTGCGGTATTAGTCCCTTCGAGGAAGAGGGTAAAGAAGACCTAGTTGTTGAGTGGGACAAGGACAGGAAAGTCAAAGGGCAAAAAGAATAAGGAAGTAGAGAAAAAGTTTGCTCAGAGGGCGAGTGAGAGGTGAAAAAGTGGGAGGCAGAAGAAGACACAGTACTGGATGGCGATTTCACCGAGCAGCGATTCCAGCTGTGAAGTGTACCGGACCTGTAACGATACATGAGAGTAGTAGTTGCTCTGCAACTACCCAAGGGTAGTTTGACAGAGGAAGCGTGTGACGAGATGGTGCGAAAAGTGCACGGTCCGGTAGATGAGGTTTGCGGTATTTTGATGCAGGCATCATTGGATGCGGTCATACCGAAGACCGTAAACTTGCGCCCGTCGCTTGTCACGAATAGCTTGTGCAGAGATCACGTACGAGAACGAGAGAGGACAGGTGATCTCCCCCTCCCTCCCTCTCCTCCCTTTTTCCCCACCCCTCACCACATCATCCACGTTGAGCTCGCATCTATTCATAAACCAAAACAAATGAGCAGCGACGATGCGGCAGGCGGCGACCTCCCCCACTACGAGGGGCTCCTCCCGCCCTCCAAGCTACGCGCGCTAGCCTCCTCCTGGCTGCTGGAGGACGCGCCGTCGTTCGACGGGGGCGGGTTCGTGGTCGGGGACGTGACGACGACGGCGGACATCTTCCTGAAATCGGGGGCCGTGCTCGCCGGGCGGGCGTTCGTGGACGCGGTGTTCCGCGAGTTGGACTGCACGGTGACGTGGGCGTCGTGGGCGGTGGACGGGGCGGAGCTGGACGCGGGCGCCGGGTCGGAGCGGCGGCTGCTGCTGGGCAGCGTGCGCGGGGCGGCGCGCAAGGTGCTGCTAGGCGAGCGGGTGGCGCTGAACGCGTTGGCCGAGTGTTGCGCGGTGGCGACGGCGGCGCGCGCGGCGGCGCGGCAGAAGCGCGCGGCCGGGTGGGGCGGGCGCGTGGCGGGGACTCGCAAGACGACGCCCGGGTTCCGGCTCGTGCAGAAGTTCGGCATGGCGGCCGGCGGCATGGACACGCACCGCATGGACCTGAGCGGCATGGTGATGCTCAAGGACAACCACGTGCGCGTGGCCGGCGGGGTGGGCGGGGCGGTGCGCAAGGCGCGGGCCGTGGTCGGGTTCTCGGTCAAGATCGACGTGGAGTGCGCGCGCGTGGAGGAGGCGTTCGAGGCGGCCGCGGCGGGGGCCGATGTGGTGATGCTGGACAACTTTGGGGCGGAGAGGTTTTGCGAGGCGGCGAGAGCGGTCAAGGAGAAGTTTCCGGCGGTGCTGGTGGAGGGCAGCGGCGGGATAACGATGGAGACGCTGAAGGGTTACATGGTGGAGGAGGCGGATGTGGTGAGCTTTTCGATCAACCGGTACGTGAAGGCGGTGGATGTGTCGATGAAGGTCCGCGCGGTCGGGGCGGAGAAGTGAGGACGGTGGGGAGAGAGAGTGGGGGGGTTAGTACGTGGTTTCGTGTGATGCGTGTGATTCGTGTGATGCGTGTGATGCGTGTGGTGCGTGTGGTGCGTGTGGTTCCTGTACACGTGCGATACGTTGATCTGGTGTAGGCGGGATGCGATGTAATGCTAATCCAATTGGGGATCCGGTTGTAGATCGGCGTCGGCCGCGTCGTGTCAGTTGGAGGGTGTGCGCGAGGGGTATATAAAGCATGCGACCTTGCCGCAAGTGGCCGCCCCCCTCTTCCCGGTCATACTTACCTGGCGCCGCTCGCACCGGTTCATGACGGAGGCGCGGGCTGGACCGAGAGCGCTCACCGCACGCCGCGGCCCCTCGGGGTCTGTTTCGGCAGAGCCGCTTGACGTTTACAACGTGCTCCACAGAGCGCGTTGGGCGCTCAATTTATGACCCTGGGCTGGCCTGCGTTCGCGCGGCCGGCCCTCTTCCCCCCATCGAGTCCGTGCACCTTCGTGCCGGCTTGTCCTGTGTACTGACTTTCTCTCATTTCTGTCCCGTTTCTGTTTATCTTGTTCCTATGCGCCACGCTTGTAGCGACTGTAGAATGATTCGCCTAATTAAACCCTCGCCCCAAATGGCCTTTCCTAATCTATCTCAATAACTTCTGGCTGAATCGTATCGACATCAATAATCTCGACCCTCTCCCTCTTCTCCCTCACTTTCGCTACGGCCGTCTCCCAGCAATTCCCCTCGTCCTCGGGCGCGGGCAACCCTATCGGCCTCTCCAGCGGCTCAGGCCCGTCGTCATCGTCGTCGTCGTCGTCCTCCTCATACCTGTGTCCCCCGCCCCACTCGTCGCCCCACACCTCCTCTCTCCACCCTTTCCCCCACTCGTCGCGGCTCTCCGGCGGCCCTTGCCACGACCTGTCCGCCTCAATTTGTCTGCCTGCGGGCGTCGCGCGCGCCCACGCGTCGTCCCCGCGCGCCGCCTCACCCGCCCTCATGCGCGGATCGCGCTCTGCCTCCGCCCTCACGCGCGGGTCGCGCTCTACCTCAGCCCTCACGCGCGGATCGCGCTCTGCCTCAGCCCTCACGCACGGATCGCGCTCTGCCTCAGCCCTCACGCGCGGATCGCGCTCTGCCTCAACCCTCACGAGGGGATCACGCTCTGCCTCAGCCCTCACGCGCGGATCGCGCTCTGCCTCCATCCTCCCGCGCAGGCGCGGGTCGCGCGGCCGCGCGCGCAACGCCGCCGCTGCCGCCGCCGGAGGGCCAGGG